TAGGTTTCACGTTGTCCCACAGCTCCCTTAAGTTGTCCTACTGTTCTTTAATTGTTTTTTCTCTCTGGTTCTCTAATTGAATGATATTTACAACTGTCTTCTAATTTAGTGATCTGGTCCTCAGCTTCCCTTAATCTGCTGTGTATTCCTCCCAATGTGTTCCTTATTTGTGTTATGTCATTCTTTATCTCACTCTCTTCTTTTTTCTTAGTTACTATATCTTTTTTCATGCTGTAGAGCATTTTTACCATCATTACTCTGAACTTTGTTTCAGTTAAATTTCTTATCTCTGCTTCACTTATCTCTTCTTCTGGAGAATTCTCTAGTTCTTCCATTTGGGGATTTTTTCTTTGTTTCCTCATTTTGGTTGTCTCTTTGGGTTTGTGACTATGTTTAGTCACAAACCTCTACACCTCTCCATCTCCAATGCAGAACAGTGTTAAAGGCTGTTTCTGACTAATTGTATTAGGCAAAGACTCAAGCCTCCAGGGATTGCCTCTGTCTACAGATTAATAAAATTCTGACTTGAATTGCCTCCAGGCAATCATTCTAAAGTGTAGGATGATTGTTACTTTTAATCTCTTAAGTAGTCTCAGGGCAAGGTGGTTTTCTATAGGATGTGTCAAACATCTTCCCCCCAGGCGAGGCAGATGTCTTTGTGGGAAAGATGTCCTCTGATGTGGAGGGAATGACAGCCCAGGAAACTTGGGGTGTCTGCCTTCTGAGTTCTATCCTCTGAATTCCAAGTCCTGGGTTCTGCTCTCACAGCTCCAGTCCACTTCACCCCCCCTTTGCCAGAGCACAAGGTGGGTGGCTCCACAGGGAATTTTTGTGCATTGGTACTTCAAGAGGGTGCCAGAACTTGCAGGTGCCACTCCATGAAAGACAGCACCCCACTGGTTTTCACAGCTAGATATTATGTGAATAACTTCCTCCGTTTGGTGCTCTCTGCTGGGGAGCCCAGCTTCGAGATTGGATCCAGTGTTCTCAGTGGCACCCCTCACCCTATACCTGAGATATCTCCCCAAACTTCAGTTGCTGTCTGTGGGTGCCCAGTTGGCCCTTTTGTGCCCCCACCCCTCCTACCAGTCTCTATTTGGTCTCCATACCTTCAGTCCTTGGGTATCAGGATTCTTTTCTGTGAGGTTTCTGTTGATTATTCAGCACGCCTTTCTGTATTTCAGTTGTTATTCAGCTTCTTCAAGGGAGCATGTCCATGCAGTATCACCGACCCTGCTGCCATTTTTAATCTCTCCTGTTTGATTCTTACAACCCAGTGGATTTCAGTAACATTTTCTTGAAATTGCTATGTTAATTTCTTCTTAATTTGATTTAAATTTAATACTGTAAAATATACACTAGGGACCCATTGAACAAATTTGTGTACCTTGAAAGGAACTGTGGGTCACAAGGCTGCAGTGGGCACAGGGGCAGTCTCAGCCCATCCTCTGTGCCCCTACCTGACCCATCCCATCTCAGCCCCCAAACTCCTCTGTTTGCCACTCCCATGCACTGACAGCACTGGCCTTGCTCACACCCACTGACAGCATGGAGCGATTGGGACTGGCGCCACCAGCAGATGCTAGCGGAGACAGCACCATCAGTGGGTGCAAGCAGAGGCTGCTGCCCCGTTTGCCCCTCAGAAGAAAGGGGAGGTGAAGACCTCAGGGGCCATCAGAGCTGGCAGCAACTGCTCACACCCACTGATGGCGCCAAGTAATCAGGAACGGTGCTGGGCACTGGCAGCAGGTGTGAGTGGTGGCTCCAGCTGTGTGCAAGTGTGTCGGGTTCCAGCAGTGGGTGTGAGTGGCAGCTTCAGTAGTACTAGCATCAGGTGCGAGCGGGGCCATTGCTGGCAGCGGGTGCAAGAAGTGACTGCCGGCCCCATTGCCCCTCAGGAGTAGAGGGAGAAAGAGAAGCCCTGAGGGGCGATGAAGGCTTACGGCCACCGCTTGCACTCACTGATGGTGCCAAGTGATTGAGGCCAGCACTGGGCAATGGGTGTGAGCAGTGACTCCAGCACCAGCAGTGCATATGAGTGGGGCTGGCACTGGCAACAGGTGCAAGCACCACGTGGGACCACGGCGCACAGTAGCAAAGAATTTTCAGTAGCCACTAGAGGCTTGTCCCGATGACAGCAACCAGCATCCCCACTCACCTGCTCCTCCATCCTGTTGCACCAGATGCCTGCTATGTTCCACAGCTCTGCTGCCTGCTGATGATGCATGCCATGCTCTGGGCACACCACATGGTAGTCAGTGCATGTCATAGCAACTGATACTTTGATTGTTCTGCCGGTCTTTCTATTTGCATATTAGCCTTTTATTATGTAGGATATGCTTTTAATATTTAATGTTTTATTATATGGCACTTGGTAGGTATTTATTAACTTTTATAGTAAATTGTTAATGAATTCATATACATATTTAACATATATCCTACTTAATATTAATCTAATGCTTTAAACCTTGTTAATTATAAAATTTTCCTCATAAGTAAAGAGTCAATAAAATTGGTTATTTCTCCAGTTTCATAAATTTCTGTTAATTATTTAAGGATGAGGTATGGAGTTTCCTCAAAAAAATGAAAATGGAATTTCCATTCGACCCAGTAATCCCACTCCTAGGAATATATCTCAAGAAACTAGAAACACCAATCAGAAAGAATATATGCACCCCTATGTTCATAGCAACACAATTTACAATAGCTAGGATTTGGAAACAGTCTAGATGCCCATCAGCAGATGATTGGATCAAAAAACGATGGTATATCTACACAATGGAATACTATGCTGCCATAAAAAGAAGGAATTCTCATCATTTGCAGCAACCTGGATGGAATTGGAGAACATCATGCTGAGTGAAATAAGCCAGCCAATGAAAGAGAAACACCACATGACCTCACTCATTTATGGATAATAAAGAACATTATAAACTGATGAACAAAAAGATAGATACAGAGACAGTAAAGCAACAGACTGTGAAATTACAGAAGGGAGGGTAGGGAGATATGGGGGAGATAAGAGATCAACCGAAGGACTTGTATGCATGCATATAAGCAAAAGCAATGGATGAAAAACTCTGGGGAGGGAGGTCATGTATGGGAGTGCGGGTGGGGGGAGCAATGGTAATTACACATATAATACTTTAATTTAAAAAAATGAAAAAAAAGGATTAGGTTAACATGATAGGCACCTGCATCCAAGTATGTAGTTTCCATAAAGCATCGACATAGACCAAGACTCTTGCAAGATTTAGTAGACCTGACTGAAGTCTAGAGGGTCAGGGGATGGGTCACAATTAGGGCATGTGGCTTTCTAAAATCTCATCTGTTCTCTTGTTCCTCTCCTCTTCTTATCTCTGGTTTTGACTGCAGTGCTCCAAATTTTACTCCTTTAGATATTTAGTCTCCCAGCTGCTATTTTTTTTTAAATCTTCACTTGAGGATATGTGATTTTAGAGAGAGACAGAGAGAGGGGGGAGAGAGAGAGAGAGAAACCAGATAGAGAGAGAATTATTGATTGGTTGCCTCCTGACCACACCCCAAGTGAATTCGAACTCAAAACCTGGGTATGTACCTTGACCAGGAATTGAACTTCAATGCATGGGACAATGACCCAATCAACTGAACCCACACTGGCCAGGGCTCCAGCTTATATTCTTATATTTCCATGCTCAAAACCATTGAGGCACACTTCAGATAAATGTTGATTTTCAAATTTCTTTTCTCATCCATCTTGAGGAGACAGCTGAGATTTTAATTACAAGGTTTTTTTCCTATTAAATATTTGTTCTTCTCAGTTAACATTGAATTATCATTCTTAAATAAACATAATATATAGTTTGTAATTTATTCATGTATTTTAAACAAATCAAAGTATAAGTGTTTCTGGTTAATATTTTATTATTAATAGGAATCAGGAAAAATAAACCAAAATTATTAATTGCATATTTTATAGACTAATTTTTATTTTTTTATGGTAAGAGAAAGGTAACGCCTGGTCTTCACAACATTGGCGTGTTGTGAGAATAGTTTTTCTGTGGAGAATAGTTGATGCATAAGTTTTCTCTTAGAGAAGTTTTGTGAGCTTTTCTTAAAAATTGTGAGATGCAGGACACAATACTTTACAAGTAATTTTAGAACAAAGTCAAATTTTGTGAGCTTATTTGGAAAATGTTGACATGTTGTAAATTAGATTCCCCTTAGAAGATATGTGACATGTTTTGGATTTGTAACATGCTTTTCTCAAAGAGACTATTTCCTGGTAGATGGTTAGAGTGCTATGGCAGTTATCTACTCTTTCATTTTCTAAAATAGTTAAAGGGCCAGAAAAATGTTTCATGTTGCCAGGGTTAGCACAACCCATTTTAAAAGCTGCAAAATTATAAATATACTTTATTTTATTTTATTTTATTTTATTTTATTTTATTTTATTTTATTTTATTTTATTGTTTAAGGTATTACAAATAGTAGCACATTTGTCACTTTCTCTTCCTTCCCCCCATTGACCTTCCCCCGGACTCCCCTATCCTCAGCACTTGCCCTCAGGACTTAACTTTAGGAAAACTGACCTATGTACAAGTATTTTAGCCCATCATCATTTATTTTTTTGTTCAACAGATATTTATTGGACACCTTAATGCACCATGGATTATTATGAAATATTTGATTTTATATATTATAGTTTCTGAAATACTTAAATAATTAAAATAGTCTCACCTTTTTGAACATAAGAAAGAGAATTTTACAAAGTCCTTTTTATACTTTTATTCACATTTTGAGTTACTTTTCTGTTTTTAAGAAATATTACTGAAAATCAGCAGTATATTCATTTAAGAAAAAGTGTTGGAAAGCAATTTCTCTATTTTACTTTCAGTTTTATGGACTAACTGCATGTTTGTTAAATGAATTTGAATGTTTCTGTGTCATGCTAGGTTCAGAACCATAATTCTGTGGTGATTAAAACAAATAGTTACCTGGATTTTTTTTTTTTTCTTTAGAAAGATAATTGCTCCTCTTGTAACTCGCCATGGAAAGCTGTGGTCCAACTTCTGGGGAGCCCTGAGTCCTGATGGCTATTTTGCTCGATATGAAGATTATGTGGATATTGTTCAAGGGAATAGAGTGTAAGTTAGTTAATTTAATCTTTTAATGTAAAATACGTTAAAAGGTAGAGATGGAACTTGTTAATATTACTTTAATTTTTTTATTTTTTTATTATTTTTTTAACTATCTTTTTTCTTTATGTTTAATGGAAATTTGGGAATCTGGGAAATGACTTGGATTCTGACATATTAGTATAAACAAGTATTTTACAAAAAAATGTTTTTAAAATTCACATCTTCAAAGGAACAAACTCATGGTTGTGGGAAATTCTAATAAATAATATATGGTTACCATGGATAGCAATCTTATGATTGATTATTAGAAAAGTACAATAATATTCTTTAGTTAAAATATTATAAAGCAAATTTAGTTTAACTAATTTATTTTGTGACCAGGATGAAGGTTGTTTGATAGCTTTTAAAATTTATAAGTGAACAAACAAAAACAATCAGAATCAAACTCTTCCAACATTTCCTATTGCAGGTATTTTCTGTATTAAATATTCTACTTTAAAAATCAATTTCTTCACTACCATCTGAATTCAATTTCTAGAATTTAAAAAGAATATACTTGTTACAAAGTGTGTGTATGATTGATATTTTTTTCCCCTGAGACAATAGTTGATATTTTTAAAACTAACAGTCACAATTGAAATAGGTTTTTTTTGCTAAGGTAATATTACAGGAGACTGTCATTCTTTTTCATACAGACGATGGACCAAAGTGTCTGAGACATAAATACTTTGCCTAGTTTCTCAAATATGTCAGCCCAATTGAAAAGGAAAACATTTTTTCATAACTAAAATATGTGCCCTTAAATTTGGAAAGAAAATCGTAAACATACTACTTGTTCAACAGTTGAATGTTAAAATGATGTTGTGTTTGTGAAAAAAGTAATAGTAAATTTGAGTGATATAAATATGATGAAGGCTTTTGTTAGCTGCAATTAAGAAGCAGATAGCTGAGAAAACACTAAGATTATATTCTGTTATCTCAAAGTACTTATTGTCTCTAGGGTTATTTGTATAGACCATATGCCTGATAGTGCCTGTGGGTATAGTAGAAATAAGAGTTCACAGAAGTATAATAGAAAATTCATGTTTTATTTAAGTTGTATAATGTGATTTTTTCTCTAACCTCCTGTCATTGTCTAAAATGTGAGAATAAGAAGGTAGAGCCCTGACTGAGCAGTGGTTAAAGCATTGGCCCTCAGACCAAAGGATCATGGGTTCAATTCCCAGTCAAGGGCACATACCTGGGTTGCAGGTTCATTTCACTGCCCTAGTCAGGGTTTGTTCAGGAGGCAACCAATAGATGTCTCTCTTACATTAATGTTTCTCTCTCTCTTGCTCTCTTACCCTCTCTTCCTCCCTCCCTCCCTCTCTCTCTCTTTCCCTCCACCCCTTCCACTTTTTCTTAAATATATATATATATATATATATATATATATATATATATATATATATATATATATATCCTCAGGTGAGGATTAACAAAACACACACACACACACACACACACAAAGGTAGAGATTTTTAATCTAGTTAATACATATGCACATTCCTTCATGTACAAAAACTGCATGAAGGAATGACATCTTATGACAAATTTTTGTGTTTTCTTTTTCTTTATTTTTTATGACCATTTATCTTAAGACTTATCTAGTAAGAAAAATGATATCATATTTTTAATATGTAATTTTTTTTATCAAGATCTTCCCTTTCTGTACTCTAAAAGCAACAGGCACATATATCCCTTCAGGCGAATCCTTTCTTACACACTTCTTATAAAGTGAGCCATATTGAGAATGAGGAGATGAGTCTGTGGAAAGAATGAAAGACAAAATAATATATATATATATATATATATATATATATATATATATATATATATATATACCATTTTCTTCAGATTATAATTCTTCATATCTTTCCTTTTTAACAAAACTTGAGGTGGTTTAATGAATTTCAAGAGGATATATTTTAAGCTATATTGAGTAGTATGCTGGTAAATGTTTAACAGCTGGTTCTTGGGATTGGAGGATGCCTTGGTTTATAGTGTTTGCCAATTTCTAAGGTGTAAATACTTCTACCATGGCTGATTTCAAGCTTCTAGTGTGAAGTCACTGAGCATAAGCTTAGTGAAGTTACAAATCATCACTGGGGAGCCAGTGTAAACTAGCTCTGGAAAACCAGTTGTATTGGCAATTTTTTTTAAATCAAACTGCTAAATCTTAAATGCAAACACCTTCTGTACAACAGAATATTATACTCTAACTGTAACAACTGAGAGGTGACAGTCAAAATGCCAATCATATGTCAACCTTAAAATAGAGTTTCTCTAGGGAGGGTAGTGATTTATCTCATAGCAATGCAGTTTATTATATATCTAACTGGAGACCTGGTGCATGAAATTCATGCATGGGGGATGTGTCCTAAGCCCAGCCTGAACCCTCTCCAATCTGGGACCCCTTGAGGGATGTCTGATTGCCAGTCCCTGTGGGATTGGGCCTAAACTGGTAGTCAGACATTACTCTCACAATCCAGGACCGCTGGCTCCTAACTGCTTGCTTGCCTGCCTGCCTGATTGCCCCTAACCACTTCTGCCTGCCAGCCTGATCACCCCCTAACTACTCCCCTGCCAGCCTGATGATGCCTTACTGCTCCCCTGCTGGCCTGATTGTTCCCAATGCCCTCCCCTGCTGTAACCCACCTCCTCTGCCCGGATCCGCCTCTTCCACGAGAGGTGCTGGAGATGCTAGGACTGGCTTCCTCTGTGCGGCACAGAGCCACAGGACCCCCACACCTCACAGTGCAGAGCGGCCACCAGGCCCTGCCTCCACTGTGCAGGTGGCCATCTTGTGGCAGCCATCTTGTAAGGCATCATGTGAGGACATAATGCCACCTAGCCTTTTATAGGATAAATTATTATATAGAATAATCTCATTTATAGGATGTTCCAAAATATATAAACACAATTTGCATAACTATAAATGCAGAGTTTGTACTTCAATTGCATTTTCAAACTTCCAGTAGCATTTTAGGATGAATTTTCTTTGTTTAAAGCTTAGTCTGGATGAAAAGAAAAAAAACATCAATTCAACTATCAGTTGTTAAAGTGTGTGTACATGTTTTGGGGACACGCTGTACAAATATCATGTATGTATGGGTGTGTGTGTGTGTGTGAGGTAGAGAGAGAGAGAGAGAAGAGAGAAATTGCATTAAGTATGTTTGTATTTGCATGTAATTTGATTCAATAATTTATATATATAATTTAAAACATATAAATCATTTATTTTTAAAACAAAAATAAAGCTTTAAGAATTTTATATTTGTGGTATTTTGGAATGACTTCTCTTTATTTTCAGAGGGTTATGGAATGTCCCATACGTGGCTAATGTGTACTTAATTAAAGGGAAGACACTTCGATCAGAGATGAATGAAAGGAACTATTTTGTTCGTGATAGACTGGATCCTGACATGGCTCTTTGCCGAAATGCTAGAGAAATGGTAGGGTATATGACGATGGCTTATTCGGTGTTCTTAGAAGATGGCTTGCCTTACCAATTGATGTGCTATTTTCTTTTGATGTTCTTTTTTCTTTCTAGTTTGTAAATACTAGCCAATTTTTTTGATTCTGTGTTGGGAAATTGGGAATAATTATGGAGAATGATTTGTGAATATTTACCTATGAAATACTTGAAAAATTAGGCTAGTACTTAAGCTAACATATCAGCAACAGTGGGATTCAATAATAAATATAAATTTGTTACAAATCAGCATAGCATTTTTAAAAAATTAATCTATACTTTCATTTGTAATTCTGTATTGAAAACTTGATCTCATTAAAATTAATTAGAGAAAGCTTAGGTGAAATGATCATTTACACATTTAAGAACACACTTTTGCTCTGAAAATCAGTGTCAGTACTGATTTTTTTTATTATCTGCAGGTTTTACCACTAAACTGGGAGATGGATTGAGGTGTGTAGCATATTTTAATCTATTAATGATAAATTGCTACTCTATAAATCTACTTTCATTATATAATTTAAATGACTATAGAAAATAATTATGTTTTCAAAATGTATAAATATCTTTTTAAACATTTATATGGTTTCTGTTTTAGAAAGGATTTGATTATTGTATTCAAATTTATGTGAGCAAATATAATTTTGTGAACAATCAGAAAAGTTGGCAAGTATTTTTTATTAGTTTAATAAGGCATGTGTTGTGTGAAAATGTTTGTTTTTTTCTACAAACCTATGTGCATTGTTATTAAATATCCTCAGTATCTGTAAATATAATTTGTGCTCATGTTTGGCTAATTTCACTCAACAGCGCATCCCGGAATGGCCTCTCTTACACATTTTTCTCTTTGTCTTGATTTTATGTCTAATGGAAATTATACTACTAAATGAGCTTGGATTTATGTTTCACAAGGGGGAAAAGGGGGCTAGAGTTGTTTCTTTGTGTGCTCTATAAGCTTTGCTTGTTCTGCATGTTTTCTAAGAGGGACATTTCAGAATGTCAACTTTTTATGAAGGGTTGCTATTTTACTACCTGAAAATACATGAGAGAGTGGGTTTGCAGGTCAACTTACCCAATGCTTCTCTTCATTTTAGACTTTGCAAAGGGAAAAAGACTCCCCTACTCCGGAAACATTCCAAATGCTCAGCCCCCCAAAGGTGTTATTTTTATTTATTTTTATTTGTTTTTGATTATTGGGTATGGTATATTGTCTAGCAATAAGTTACTTAAAAGTCTTCTTTCCATTTAGCTTGGTAAATTGTTGGTATACACTGGTTCTGAATCTAAATATGTGCTTATAAGCTTTATGTATTGGGGGTGGGCATTGTAGAATATTCAACTCTCAATTCTTTGGGTTGATTTATATTTTATGGCTGACATATTATGATAGATAAGAAAATGAAACATAAATCCCTTTCGCTCATTTTTGTTTTTTTAAGGGAGAGACAGTGTAGAAGTAAGTATAAAGTACATTTTGATAAAAATTAGAATTGGGTACTCTTCATGAGTTTTTTTTATTATTAACTAGTGGCCCAGTGCATGAATTCATGCATGGGTGGGGTCCCTCTGGGTGGCCTGCAGGGATCAGGCAAAAACCTGCAGTCCAATGCCACCTGCAGTTCCTACCTGCCACTCTGGCTCATTCTGGCCCCACTGAGCCTGCTGTGGTTTGTGCCCAATCAGTCCTGATTGGGAGAGGCAGCAGCGCTTGTCAGCCATAAGCCCTGCATCTGGGACCTTCCCAATGGGAGTGGCCTGCAGGATCGGCTGAAATGGGATCTCCGACATCCCCTCAAGGGGTCCCAGATTGTGAGAGGGCTCAGGCCAGGCTGAAGGACCCCACCGGTGCATGATCAAGGCAGGGGAGGGACTATTGGAGGGCCCCAAGCCTTGTCTGGCCTATCTTGCTCAGTCCCAATTGGCCGGACCCCTGCAGCAAGCTAACCTACCCGTCGGAGCATCTGCCTCTTGGTGATCAGTGCACATCATAGCAAGTGCTTAAGCAGCCTTAGCATATCATTAGCATATTACACTTTGGTTGTTCAGTTGTTCTGCCATTTGGTCTATTTGCATATTACCCTTTTATTATATAGGATAACTAACTTCTTTATCGTTCAAACAGGTACAAAAAGAAACAACCTTACCTTAGTGATGTTGCCACATTTATTTGGTTTGGGACAAGGATATGAGACTGATTTTTAGCTGTCTTATAATGCATGAATAGTTTCTGAGTTTAGTTTTTCAACATCATTTATTATATAATAATAAAATCATAATATACTAATTAGATCAGACATCCTTGCAGACGTCCTTCCAGACAACCTTCCAGATGAAGCCAAGGCTGCAAGGGAAGCCTGGATCCCGGGTGCCTGCTGGTAGCCAGAGGAAAGCCAGTGCCGGCAGCCCGGGGGAGGAAGGCCTACTCTTGCATGAATTTCATGCATCAGGCCTCTAATTAGGATATTAAAAAAAATAAAAGACTGATGAAAGAATGTTGACATTTGAATTATTTTAAAATGTGATGTCTTCTTTGAAAGGGTAAGAAGCCAAAAGAGATACAGTTCATTGCACATTGCCTCAAAAATACTTCTGATTTCAAACAGGAATTTCCCCCCAATGTCTACATCTAGAATAAATGAGAAAAGGACACAAAAAAGTCCTTTCTGGCTATTCAATTGAGTGGCAGTGCAAGCAATTTGTTTTGTGTGGTGTCTGAATTCATGATGAATAAAATATATATATTTCTTTAATTTTTAATCAGGTACATTTTATATGAAAAATAAAATTCATGTTCATAAGTGAAAAGATAAAGATTGAAATTGATGTCATATTTTTCTGTGGTTAAACATGTTTTCTTGTACTTTATTCTATGATTGTTAATATTATTATTTTTTGACATATAGGGTGTATTTATGTACATTTCTAATAGACACGAATTTGGAAGACTATTATCAACTGCAAATTACAATACTTCCCATTATAACAATGACCTCTGGCAGATTTTTGAAAATCCTGTGGTATGTATTTCACACTCAACTTTACTTACTACTTTTTTTCCTATAACTCTAAATGGATTAAAATAAATTGGGTGAATAATATGAAAATGTGCTAAGAGGCTTTAAATTTTTAAAATCATATCAATTTAAAAAATATGTTATTAATTATATTTTCTTTCTATAGAGTACATATAAACCTGCAAAAATAACTTTTTTTTATAAAGATATATATTAGGTTTGGGGGAAAAAATGTAATTCTCCAAGTATTCTACTTATATGTTGAAGAGCACATCAAATTTCTAACCACAACTTCAGGAAAAGGTGGTTACTAATAGCTCACATATGATAATATTATTTTTTGATTTTCAGAAAGAAAAATCAAGCATTAGTTTGTGAAAATAAATTTTATTTTATAATTTTTACTTTTTACTATTTTGTGTAAATTGTTTAAAAATTCTTTATTGTTGAAAGTATTACATTATGTCTCCTTTTTCACCCATTGACCTCTCCCCACACGCTCCCTCTCACAAGCACAAGCCGTCATCCCTTTACTGTCCATGTCCATTAGTTATGCTTATATGCATAAATAAAAGTCCTTTAATTGATCTATTATCACCACCCCTCCTGTACTTCCCACTGCCATTTGACAGATTGTACAATGCTTCTATGTTTCTGGATCTGTTTTTGTTCATCAGTTTATGTTGTTCATTATATTCCACAAATGAGCAAGATCATGTGATATTTATCTTTCTCCAACTGGCTTATTTCACTTAGCAAAATGCTCTCTAGGTCCATCCATGCTGTTGCAAATGGTAAGAGTTCCTTCTTTTTTACTGCAGCATAGTATTGTAATGAGTAGATGTATCCCAGTTTTTAATCCACTCAACTTCTGATGGGCCCTTAGGGTGAATTTAAATCTTAGCTATTGTAAACTGAGCTGCGATGAGCATAGGGATGCATATATTCTTTTGGATTGGAGTTTCTGATTTCTTGGTGTATATTCCTAGAAGTGGAATTGCTGGGTCAAATGGGAGTTCCATTTTTAATTTTTTGAGGAAACTTAATACTGTTTTCTACAATGGCTGCACCAGACTGAATTCCCACCAGCAAGGTACTAGGGTTTCTTTTTCTCCACATCCTCACCATCACTTGTCATGTCTTTTTCTTTAATTCTTTATTGTTTAAAGTATTACATATGTCTCCTTTTCCCCCCATATACCTCTCCCCAGCCATTCCCAACACCTAGCACATGCCCTCATCCTTCTACTGTCTGTGTCCATGGGTTATGCTTATATAAATGCATACAAGTCCTTTGATTGATCTTTTATCCCCCCCATCCACTGCCTTTCCTCTGAGGTTGGACAGTCTGTTTCATATTTCTATGTCTCTGCATCTATTTTTGTTCATCAGTTTATGTTGTTCATTTTATTTCACTTAGCATAATGCTCTCCAGGTCCATCCATGTTGTTGCATTCCCACCAGCAGTGCACAAGTGTTCGTTCCTTTTTCTCCATAACCCCTCCAGCACTTGTCATTTGTTGATTTGTTGATGATAGCCATCTTAACAGGTGTGAGATGGTACTTCATTGTTATTTTATTTTCATCTCTTGGATGACTAGTGACTCTAAGCAAGCATGTTTTCATATGTCTCTTGGCCTTCTGTATGTCCTGTTTTGAACAGTGTCTAGTTAGATCCTTTGCCCATTTTTTTATTGGATTGCTTATCTTCCTTTTGTTAAGATATAGGAGTTTCCTATAAATTTTGGAGATTAAACCCTGTCAGAGATAACATTGACAAATATGTTCTCCCATGCAGCAGGCTTTCTTATTGTTTTGTTAATGCTCTCTTGTGCTGTGCAGAAGCTTTTTATTTTGACATAGTCCCATTTGTTTTCTCCTTAATTTCCATTGTCCTAGCACCTGTTTTGGTAAAGATATTGCTATGAGAGACATTTGCTATTTTGCTGCCTATAGATTCTTCTAAGATTTTTATAGTTTCCCATCTTAGGTTGAAGTCCTTTATACATTTTGAGTTTATTTTTGTGAATGGTGGAAGTTGGTGATCTAGCTTCATTTTTTTTTTTTTTTTGGCATGTATCTGTCCAATTTTCCTAACACCATTTATTGAAAGATTTTCTTGACTCCATTGTATGTTCTTGACCTCTTCTTCAAATATTAATTGAGCATAATGTTTTGGGTCAATTCCTGAATTCTTTGTTCTGTTCCATTGGTCTATATGCCTGTTTTTGTGCCAGTACTAGGCAGTTTTGGGAACAGTGGCTTTATAATATAATGATATCTGGTATTGTGATCCCTCCAACTTTGTTCTTCTTTCTCAGGATTGTTGAGGCTATGCAGGGTCTTTTTTTTATTCTTTATACATTTTAGGAAAGTTTGTTCTAGGTCTGTGAAATAAGCTGTTGGTATTTTAATGGGGATTGCATTGAATCTATAGATGGCTTTGGATAGTAGGGACATTTTAATGATATTGATTCTAGAAGTGCCCGGCTAGCTCAGTCAGTAGAGCATGAGACTCTTAATGATATTGATTCTACCAGTCCATGAACACAATATGTTCTTACACTTGTTAATATCTTCCTCTATCACTTTTTTCAATATCCTGAAGTTTTCCAAGTATAGGTCTTTTTCTTCCTTAGATAGGTTTATTCCCAGGTATCTTAATTTTTTTTGTTGCAAATAATCAATGGGATTGTTTTTTTAGTTTTTCTTTCTGTGAGTGCATTATTGGTGTATAAAAATGCCATATATATATTTCTTGGCGTTAATTTTGTATCCTGCTTTCTTGCCAAATTCATTTATTAAATCTAGTCATTTTTTGATGGGAGGCTTTATAATTTTCTATGCACAATATCATGTCATCTGTGAATAATGACAGTTTTATTCTTTTTCTAATTTAGTTACAATTTTTTTTTCTTATTGTCTGATTGCTATGGCTACCACTTCCAAAACTATGTTGAACAGGAGTGGTGAATGTTGGCATCCCTGTCTTGTTCCTGTTCTTAGGGGAAATTGTTTTAGTTGGCCCTCTTCAGTCCATATCCCTATTCCTACTGTTTTCCAGGTGTTCTCTGCCCTTCCTTCTTGTAAATTGTCCCCTTAGCTGTGTCTAACTTGTTAATTCCAGGTTGATGTTCACTGACTTTTCCAACTTGGCCTCAGGATGAGGTGCATGACTCATCTGTCTATTGGGCCACCATTTTCTATCTCTCCTTGTTTATTTTTTTTTAAACAATTTGTAAATATATACCAAAGATAGCCAGAGAAAATTTCATAGTAACTGGATTTAACATATAAAGAAAGTCTTGAGTTGGGAAACAATTTACTTTTAAATTCTAAAATTATTTTTTCTCTGAAAGATTTGAATCTATAGGAATTAACTTTTTTTGTCTGTTCTATGTAGTGAAGTCAGCACATTTATTCAAGGAAAAATGCTCTATTAAAGGATCATCTTTGAATCATTTTTGTAGTAGTACTATTTAGAGTTTTCTTTTGCCAATAGTAAAAATTTTTTATTAAAAACTCTTAATCCATCTTATCAGAATTCTGTTTTATTTTGTAGGAGTAATTGACAACCAGGAATAGGAAATTTAATGGTCTCTAAATACTCTATTGAATAAAAAGTAAATATTTTAAAAAGTATTTTCACCAATTGTTGTCTCTCTGACATATATGTTTCACTATCTATTTATGATCTTTTTTTTCTCTCTCTCCTTCCCTCCTTAACTTCCACTTTCTCTACAAATTAATGGAAAAATATCCTCAGATGGGGATTAATAAAACATAAATCTATATGTATAAAAGCCTAAGTGACTGAATGACCAGTCAACTGGTTGCTATGACATTCACTGACCACCAAGGGACAGGTGCTCAATGCAGGAGCTGTCCCCCTGGTGGTCAGCGTGCTCAGCAGGAACGCTGCTTACCTACCCAACTGGCACCAGACGCAGAGCTCATGGCTGGCGAGTGCCACTTCAGCAGTGGTGTGAACATTTCCCAATCGGAACTGACTGGGCATGAATCTGCAGCAGGAACAGCAGGGTCAGGATGAACAGGAGCAGCAGGCAGGAGTGGTAGGTGGCATTGGACTGTCGATTTTAGCTTGATCCCTGCAGGTCACCTGCCTGCAGGGATCAGGCCTAAACTGGCAGTCCAACATTCCCCTAGGGGTCCCAGTAGATAAATAAAGGATAGCACCTCCAGCTCATTTAGTTTCACATATTCATGGACTTAAGAAGGAGCTTTTTTAATGGTGAAGGTGAAATTTCATAATTTACTTTAGTGCTAAATTTCTTGTTATTTTGAAAAAGAGTATTATTTGATTTCTTTTTTTTACATCTCACCCTTTATTACTAATTAAAATTAAATTTAAACATTAATAATAGAGCTCTAAAATTAAAAACAATTGCAAACAATGCCAATGCAAAAACTAAATTACATACACGTTATTTTTAAAACTTGAATGTCAAGAGCAAAACTCTGGCTATTAAATAATAACAACAATGCCAATGCAAAACAACAAAATGAGAAATCAGAATTATGGACCTATTAATATTTTTAGCTATGAAATGAGTCTCTTTTGTTGCTGGTGTAGATTTACTCATAGTCCTTAGACTTGCTGCACAAGACTTTGCAGAAGACTGGAAGCTAACAGATGCTAGCATGAACAGGAACATGATTAAAGAAGTAGCTTCCACTTCAGTCTTTAATTTCTTCAGATGACTCCATGTTGGCACCTCAGTCCCTTCTGTAGCTTTCAATTTTCTTCTCCCACTTTGCTGTCATCTGGGCAACTCTCAATCCTTTTGGGTGAAGGGACACAGGAGCATCTCTGAGTCCATTGTGATGATGGACATAACACTCTGGCACCCAAATTGGCTGCATTGCTCCTTCTTTCCTTTCATTTTGAACCCAAGGTTCAACCCCACAACATTCCAGGCCTGGCTGCTTCAGGCCTGGCTACTGCTGCATCGGGCTTGGCTGCTCCAGCCCTGGCTGCTGCTGGTCCGGGCCTGGCTGTTCCAGGCCTGGCTGCTGCTGCTTCGGGCCTGACTGCTGCTGCTCTGAGCCTGGCTGCTACTGCTCCAGGCCCGGCTGCTCAGGGCCCGGATGCTTCTCCGGGCCTGGCTGCTCCGGGCCTGGCTGCTCCGGGCCCAGCTGCTGCTGCTCAAGGCCTGGCTGCTTTGGGCCTGGCTGCTCTGGTCCTGGATGCTTCAGGCCTGGCTGCTCCAAGGCTGGATGCTGCTCTGGGCCTGGCTACTGCTGCTCTGGGCCTGGCTGTTCTGGGCCTGGCTGCTCTGGACCTGGCTGCTGCTGCTCCAGACCTGGCTGCTCTGGGCCTGGCTGCTCTGGGCCTGGCTGTTGCTGCTCCGGGCCCGGCTGCTGCTGCTCCGGCCTGGCTGCTCCAGGATTGGCTGCTGCTGTTTGGGCCTGGCCACTCTGGGTCTGGCATTCTTCCATCCTCCAGCCAGTCACACTTCAAGAGCCCCATCGGTCCCTCATTGCTCCTACTATCATGTAAATTGTTGACCATCAACCACCTAGCACCTCCCCGCCACAGCAGTTCTGGATGATAGATGTCCCTCATATTAGCTTCAATTTTTAAATTGTTGTGGGAGCGGCATACCAGCCCCTCAACCACGCCGCCATCTTGGTTTCTCTATTATTTGATTTCTTAAGTAATGTTAGCATCCTGAAAAAATATTACAGATTATGTCCTGAATTGTAGATGTTTGTATAAAAATTCAATTTTTTAGAGACTATCCTAATATATAAAAAGCCAGGGGCCATCATGACTGAAACAACCAGACAGATGACCAAAGAGCAGGCTGTGTGAGGTGACCAGGCCTCCAGGGGAGTTAGTGAGGGATGACCAAACAACTGAACTGCAGACTGCGTGGGGCAGCCAGGCCAGTGGGGGGAGCAGTTGGGGGTGACCAGGCCAGCGGTGGGGGGCGGCCCATTTGGCAAGCGGAACAGTTAGGGTTTATCAGGCCAGCAGGCAGTGGCGGTCAGGGGTGATCAGGCTGGCAAGCAGGTGAGCAGTTAGGAGCCAATAGTCTCAGATTGTGAGAGGGGTGTCCAGCTGCCAGGGATTGGGCCTAAACTTGCAGTTGGACATCCTCCGAGGGGTCCTGAATTGGAGAGGGTCCAGGCTGGGCTGAGGGGACCCCCTCCCATGCACCAATTTCATACACCAGGCCTCTAGGGCAATGATAATATCACAAGTGAGTTGGAATAGCTTTTCTTTCTGTGGTTTTACTTTGTTGTTGTTTACTTTAGAAATTCACCATATAGATATACTTTGTAGAGGATATGCATAGCAATATATTTAATGATTTTCCCATTATCATAACTTATAAGAAATTAGTAAGGTCACAGTTTGTTCAATGATATTTGAAAGGTAGTCAAAACAAAAAATTAATGTAAAATCTTAGGGGCTTTTTTCTTTAATTTCAGTAATGACACATAGGAAAGAATACAGAAGGATTCTGAAATGTTATGAATGATTATTTACTTTTAATTTTTCTCCTATTTTGAAATCCAAACATTAATAAGTACTAGAGGGAATAATAAGATAATATAGTAATTTGATTCTTATAATTATACTAGAAGCCCAGTGAACAAAATTCATGCACTGGTGGTGAGGGATCCCTTAGCCCAACCTGCCCCCTCTCATATACTGGGAGCCCTCAGGGAATGTCCTACTAATAGCTTAAGCCCGCTCCCCATGGGGAACGGACTTAAGCTGCAGACTGGCCTCCCTTTGTGGGTGGCAAACTGGCTGATCAGGGGAAGGCGCCAGCCCCATCACCCCACTGCTGCAGCCACTGCCAGTTAGCACAGCCACCAAGATGTTTTCATTAACATGGACTCCAGTGCCTTCACCAAGAAAAAATGACAACTTTCCTTAGGCATTTTCAAGATGTGTCTTTCATAGGATATTCATTTCTTTCTTTCTTTTTTTTAATCCTTACCTGAGAATATGTTTCCATTGATTTTTAGAGAATGTGGAAGAGAAAGGGAAAGACAGAGAGCAACATCAAAGTGAGAGGAACAGTTTGATTGTTTGCCTCCTGCAACTTAGGTACATGCCCTTGATCAAACTCGAACCCAGACACTACTGTCTCAGGCTGAGGCATTATCAAACCAGCTAGGGCAGTCAAACTGGCTAGGGCAGGATATGACATTTCTTAGTCCTCCAGCAGTGGACCTTTGTTTTTTGCTCCAGAAGTGTGGTGGAAAAACCCTAGATCACTTTTTTGGAGTTTTATTACCCAAGTTACTAAGAATATTACCAGTAGCATACAGGAAGCTTAGATAATGTGCAATCAGAAAAGGAGTTTCCTCCATAATTCAACCCAGTCGAGGGCTGGGCCCTGCCCAGGCCAAAAGCCTCTGGCTGAAGCTTTAGGCCTGGGCAGAGACCCTCTAGCTCCCTCTGATCACTGGCTCTGCCCCTGCTCAGGCCTGCTCAGGCCTGCCCAGGCTGAAAGCCTCTGGCAGAGGCTTTAGGCCTTGGGCAGGGGACCCCAGGCTCCCTGTGATCGCAGGCTCCGCCTCTTGGACAGGAGCAGAACCCTAGCTCCCTGTGATTGATTGCAGGCTCCGCTATTGCCCTCTCATTCTGATTGCAGGCTAGCCCTTCCCAGGCTGCCCTGGGCTCACATGGCCTTACTTCATAGTGACCTGTGTGCCAGGATGTTCCTGGGACACAGGTACTGGGCACCTATGTATGCAAATTAACCACCATCTTTTGGGGGTTAATTTGCATACTCACTCTGGTTGGCTATGGGCATAGAGAAGGTATGGTCAATTTACATGTTTGTCTATTATTAGGTAAGATACTTTAAATGAAATTTATTAAAGTATTTGAAGATAGTTTGGATTCTCTAAATCAGAAATATCTTAGCTACATATAAGCAGAGATATGTTAAACTAAGAATGTGGGTAAATTATCTGGATCCTTTGAAATCTGGCCTCAAAAAGTATATTACAAACAAATATTTTTTGGAACATGTTTTGATTGGAGTTATCTTATGTCTGTACCTCAGGTCTTTCCTGTCACTTTCCTATATTTGTACTTTATAAAGAGAAAATTAAGAATTTTGTTAGACTGCCTAAATACATTTAATAAGAGATCTTTTTAAATAACAACTCCATATTTTAATATATACTCTCTAAATAATTGGGATTTTAAATGAAACACTTGACCCAAGGAAAGGATTTCTTAGCTGCTATTAACAAAAATTGAGGCATTTCAGTATGTGCTTTATGTGTCAGAGATTGGTCAAAGAGGAGAGTTGATTCATAAATTAACATCAAGAGGATCTATTATTTCTATATCTTAAATTTGATAACTTAAGGAAGTGAATGTGTTAAGAATCCTATGATCATTCTTTGACATATTAAAATCTGAAGTGAAGGAAGAAATTTTGAATATATATATATATTTTTTTAATTTTGATTTTATTTTTAAAATTGAAATTATTTGAGTAATTCACTATATAAGTAATACTCAAATTGACTAATATTTGTTGATAGAATTCTGTATTGTTCATTTTTAAAACACATATTTAAACACATTTTGTGTAGATGCATAGGATATAGTATACAAATCTAATTAATATTTTTCACATTTTTAAATTCTGATGAACCAAAATTTTGTGTTTCATAAAAGATATATGATCATACATAGAAGCAAAGATTAAAAAACATAAACTGTGGTTTCTGAGAACTATTTAGTCTATAACAGTCATTTATAAGTTGAGTAATTTCTAAAATGCATATACTTTATATTGTTTATTCAAGTATTTGTAAAAGTATTTGCTTTAATCTGTATAATTGAAATTTTTTTGTAGGACTGGAAGGAAAAGTATATAAACCATGATTATTCAAAGATTTTCACTGAAAATATAGTTGAACAGGTTTGTATTAATAATTATGATATGTAGAACTTTTTGCTGTATTTTCCAGAATGATATATTATTACTACAATACTGCTTTAGTGGGTGATGTTTTGAATGTGCATAAATTACCCTTTAGGTAAAATTTATATGGCTTGATTCCCAATTTTATAGCCTTAAGGATCATACAGTTATAAAACTGTAGAATGTGGAGAGAAACACAAATTTTAAAATCATGCATTTTTTTTAAATCATGCTATCAATGTCATAGCTTTCTTTTTGTTTTATTTTTCTTTATTTTTCCCCATTATCACTTAACCCCCATATACCCTCTTCCACCTCCACCTCCCTGCCTCATACCCACCCCTAGAATCATCACACTGTTCTGTATATCCACAAATTAATATTATAGCTTTCCCAAACGACTAAAAATAAGGAGCCATGGACAAATATCTTTCAATTGAAGTTTACCTTTGAAAGAAATTGAGCTCCAAGAATCTCTTCTCAGATCTGTCTTTTACAAAATGAACTGTTTTAGATTAGTAGTATTTCAAACTATTGCTAATACCTTTTTTAGAGAATATAGGGAATCTTTAATTCTGAGTTATCTCTTTATTTTGTATACTATGAGAGAGAAAAATAAAATACTTCCAATTAAACTATGACACAATTTTTTTAGTCATTTAGAATATTTTCATTTTATACATACTGAAAGAGTTATTTTACACTTATTAAGGAATAGATGTTATATGTTCTAGTGCACTGCATACATAATAACTTTTCATTTCTGTCACAAATTATAGTATAAATCATTTTAAAAGACATTTTAAAGGGCAACTCAGTTCGGCAAATACAACACCAAGTAAATACATGTATGCAAAGGACACACAGACATGCATATGTACTCACACAGGTGACAGCAAAATGAATGTTTTACCAAGTACTGTGGCATTAAAACTACATTACAGTGGCTGCTTGGCTTTGACTTTAAGACGTTTTTAATTTACTGATGTTAAAATGTTTTTTTTAAAAAGTATCCTAAGTATTAAAAATCCCCAAAACTAGTATTGTTTATAATAGTAATGTCAAAAATATGGGACAGATCTCTTAAAAAGGACATCTAACTGAGTATTCTGCCCTATTTCTTTTAAAATGCTAGTTAATAGTTAAAAGACATAGAATGTTATTCTCTTAATGGTGATGCCATGCTTTATAGCCTTGTCCAGATGTCTTTTGGTTTCCCATATTTTCTGAAAAAGCCTGTGATGAGTTGGTGGAAGAAATGGAGCATTATGGCCAGTGGTCTGGAGGGAAGCATCATGTAAGTTGTAATTTCACACAGAAAACTGAAATGTGAATGTGGAGTTGGGAGGAAGGTAGATATTTAGATAATTTAGAATGAATTTATCTTTTTTGTTGTACATCTCTGAATAGACCTGAATAGTAGGCTAGCCAAGGCTGTTAGGAGAGCTGTGTTTAAGTCTAATTCTACCATTACCTAATGAGTGTTTAACATTTGATCTCCCTGGGCCTGTTTCTCATTTATGCATGTTATTACATTGGTTAGTCTGTAAGGATCATGTCTCAGACTAGAGATGATGAGGTCATGTTGTCTTTATTGTGTGATGTTGTTCTTGAGGCCACTTTTTATTCTCTGCATTTTTACAGTGAGCTATAGTGAAAAATACTAAGTTTATCTGGTTGATTATCAAAGCTTTTTGTATAAAATATAAGAAAGAATCTGAATGCCTTCAGTGTAAGTCAGTTTTTTATTTACATTCCGTGTCAAGGACTTGGCAGAAGTCTCACTGTCAGGGGTTCAATGTGTTCCTTTTCCTTTGAGAATTCTCACATGCCAGCTCCTTCCAAATACCAAGAAATTTAAGTGGAATACTCATGAATATTACTGCCTCTATTAAATTACAAACCTCAGCTAGTTAGCTGATCAGGGATACAGAAGTTCAAAGAATGATGAAGAACCAGAAGTCTGCAGTTGGCAGGCAGGATAATGAGACTGGGTGCCATAAAGTAGAAGTGAGAAACCAAGCAGGGAAAGCTTGTTTCTATGGTAGGTAATCCAGCAAATGTATGCCCATCAAGCAGCAAACACTGCCTGAAGGGTCACTGTAAAAAATTCATTCTTTAGGAGGCTTGGGAAGGCTTTGGAAATTAACTTTATTTACTTTATAGTCAGATCTTAAATACATATTTGTAAAAATAATCTAAATGGAGCCACTTTAAAATGGAATTGGAGCTGCCACCCCAGAATCTTGCATATCTTATTCTGCAAATCTTTGGAATGTTAAAAAGGCATAATAACCTTAGGCTAGACCCAAGAGTAGCTTGTATCCCAAACCATTGTGTGAAAAGATAACAAGAAGGAAGATGCTATGACTACCTGGACTGAAATTAAAAACACTGTTTAGCATTAGCATCACTGTGCTAGCTTATTTGCACCTATAGAAATGCTTCCTTCTATTGATGTAATTGTTCTCCTACTCCTTCTCATAAATACCCACTGCTTTTGTTTCCTAATCAAAACACTATTTGAGTTTCTATCTGAATCAATGTTTTCTGAATAACTACTCTTTTGAATATCAAATAAACACTTGTTACCTCTTACTTTGACCTTTTTATTTTTGGGTTAACACATTAAATAAGTAGGAACAGAGTCTACTAAACTCTGTTATGTTTTGCTTCATGAATATATTTGCAAAGCCATTTAACCTAAGTTTTTTTTTTATAGTTTCACAGTTAAAGCAGATGGTTTGCCATAATTAAACTGTTAATTTCTTTATTTCTAATGATCTTGGGATTGAAGAAATTCCAAGATAGTATAAATGTGGATTGCTGTGGACCACACTTTATGATGTCCTTAATTTGTTTTTAGGATAGCCGTATATCTGGTGGTTATGAAAATGTCCCAACTGATGATATCCACATGAAGCAAATTGATCTGGAGAATGTTTGGCTTCATTTTATCCGGGAGTTTATTGCACCAGTTACACTGAAGGTCTTTGCAGGCTATTATACAAAGGTTGTTATTCTCCCATTCCTCCTGCCTTCCTCTTACCAGTTTTTACACATATATGCTATTTTATATTTTTATTACTAAGCAAATCCATTCATTTACTTTGCCTTTATAGGGATTTGCATTATTGAATTTTGTGGTAAAATATTCTCCGGACAGACAGCGTTCTCTTCGTCCTCATCACGATGCTTCTACGTTTACCATCAACATTGCACTCAATAATGTGGGAGAAGATTTCCAGGTAATTATGGGATTTATTTTTTACATTTCTCAGTCATTACAAAAAGGCTTTAAACCCCCCTTCCTTTTTTTAAAGTTTTTTCTTATATAGCATAATTTGAATTTTGCCAATCTATATATATATAAAAGCCCAGTGACTATTACAGCGGAACCACCGGAATGGCCAGAATGACCAGTAAGCCAGTTGCTATAATGCACACTGATAACCAGGGGCAAAAGCTTAACACAGAAGCTGCTCCCTGATAGTCAATGTGCTCCCACAGGATGAATGCCACTGAGCCAGAAGCGGGGCTCATGGCTGGTGAGTACAGCTGCAGTGGCAGGGAGCCTCTCCTGACTCCAGGGCAGTAGGCACCCAGCCTGCTCTGGATTCCATTGGCCATCTGCCACTTGGTGCACTGCTATGTCCCTCCAGGGATGTCCAGCTGCCAGTTTGTTCTCAATTCCTCCCTCCCCCCAGGATTGGACCTAGATATCTCCCGAGGGATCCCAGATTAACTTGGGTGCTATGGGTGCGCTCCTGTAGAGCAAGTGATTACTATGGACGGGTTACATGTAAGCCCAATGTCAGCCTGTTTTTTTCTTAACTATACAAACATAAGAATTTAGAGCACAACCCCTCTCAAAGTGGGCAGAAGCAGCTTTGAGGGCCAGTGTCTGGGAGAAGGGGCGTGGGAAGAAGTTTTGGGAACATGGCTATCTGGGGTTAGGGTCAGGCGGGACAGTTCCGATTTTTAACAATTTGTCCTGCATCCCTCGGTGTTTTAAAAAAGTCCCAATTTTTGAAAAGAATGCATGACAAGCTAGGGAATGGAGGGAGAACAAGAAGGGAATATATGGTTTTTGGAAGCCATGTGGCTATTTAGCCAGGATATGAGTTTTATATTATTTTTGTTAATTTTATAATGTTAAACTTTAATAATAACAAATAATTGTTGAGAACTGGTTATCGAGAACTGCTTATCAAAGAACAATGAAAACATGAAATATAAATAATGTGAGTACTGTCTGCTAAATTCAAGAAAATTTATATATTTATGAAATAAATAAATAATTTACTTACCTAAATTATCTGAATAGCTGATTTGTAATGACATCACTTGTTTAACGATGTGTATCATCTGGAGACAGTTATAAAATGTTTTCGTCGTTGCCAATCCCCAAAAATGCCATTGTTCATTAAGTCCAAACAATGGTGGTTGAATTCTAACAACTGATCAACAATGCGAACTTTTATAAGCAGTTCTCGATAACCAGTTCTCAACAATTATTTGTTATTATTAAAGTTTAACATTATAAAATTAACAAAAATAATATAAAACTCATATCCTGGCTAAATAGCCACATGGCCGCCCAAAACCGTATATCCCCTTCCCGTTCTCCCGCCATTTCTTAGCTTGTCGTGCATTCTTTCCAAAAATCAGGACTTTTTTTCATTTTTTTAATTAAATTATTATCTGTGTACATATTTTAACATTACCCCTCCCTCCCATACATACCTTCCCTCCCCAGAGTTTTGTGACCATTGGTTGTACTTATATGCATGTATACAAGTCCTTCGGTTGATCTCTTATCTCCCCCAGATCTCCCTACTCTCCCCGCTGTAATTTTACAGTGTGCTTGTTGCTTTACTGTCTTTATATCTGACTTTTGGTTTGTCAGTTTATAATGTTCTTTAATATTCATAAATGAGTGACTTTTTTAAAACACCACGGAAAGCGGGACAAATTGTTAAAAATCGGGACTGTCCCGCCAAAAGCGGGACGACTAGTCACCTTAACCTAAGTGGCTTCCTGAAGGCTTTTGAAAAATCTCTTTCTAGGGGGGCTTCAGTGATAAAATATTAAACACAAAGGGATGATATATTTATTTGTTTTATTTCTTTTAGGGAGGTGGATGCAAATTTCTACGATACAATTGCTCTATTGAATCACCGAGAAAAGGCTGGAGCTTTATGCACCCAGGGAGACTCACACATCTACATGAAGGACTTCCTGTTAAAAATGGAACAAGATACATTGCAGTGTCTTTTATAGATCCCTAAGTTATTCACTTTCCTTTGAATCACTGTTCCTTTTGGAATGGATGACTGGCATGAAAATGTTTGAAGTTACTTGAGAAGATGAGAGGAATATTTAAATAGCGTCAACAGAACAACTTCACTTTGGGCCAAACATTTGAAAACCTTATAAAAAATTGATATATTGTGATATCTGCTCTGAGCCTTAAAGCATAGATTGAAGTAGACAAGAAAGGGAAAAAATTAAAAGCAAATATTTATTTCTTTGCCTTATTATTGTCTCTGATAATAATAACAATTTTTCTAAATATGTGTTTCAGTTGGTAAAATATTCAGGTAAAAATGCATAAATGACAAATGAGACTAGTATTTTCTTATTTAACAACACCTGGGAAGAATTTTATTTATCAACATGTAGATAAGATGGATATAAGTGAAAATTGGCAATTTTTTAAATGTTGGAAAACTGGAATTCTAACTGAATTTTTGTGCAATTGTGTAAGTACTTTTTTTGACCACCTGTGTAGGTATGTTTTACATTTCCTGATGGAATATAAATAACAGTATTGCACAATATTTGTCCTTAAGAAATTTAGTACAAAATATAGTAAGCTGCATATCCAGTTGAAAGCCTTTTTGTTTAGTTTAAATTTTTACACTTGTATTAAAAATAAAGTCCTGTGTTCCTTCAGATAAATTTTTTCAAAGTAGATTGTATTATATTGATATTAGATTTAGAAAAGCAAACCTTTCCATTTCTAAGTATTGACTTAAGATCTCTGACTATCCTTAAGTAAAAGAGATTATTATTTTTTAATTCTAGAAAATAATGAGGATTACTTTTTCTTTGAAATGAGTAGCAGCATTTTATGATTTTAAAAAGTTTTTTAAATACTTGAATTTTATATCAGGAAAATAATTGAGCCTTTCTTTTGCTCGTTGCCCTCCTCTTTATTTTCTTTTTAGGAAGAATTACTCACTTTTTTGTCTTCCCAGAATGGTCTCTATTTTATCCTTTTTACTCTTTTTATTAGCTTTTAAAAATTGCACTTTGAAATAATTTTCCTCCACAAAAGAATTTGTGCCTTGATTTTCAGCATTTCTCTGAGTGAGGTTTAAATATCCTTAGTGTAGCTACTGTGGTTAATTTAAAGGCTAAACTTGAGAAAAAGTTCTAAGTCATGGTACCAAAATTCACTTTTCTAAACCATGTATTAGAAAATTCTAAAAATTAAAATAATTTAAAATAAGTTTCTATTGTTTTATTTATTATTGGTGAATAAATAGCTTAAGAAGATACTTATAATTAAGGAGCCTGAAAGATTATCTGGAGATAATGGACTGTGACTTTTCATTTTGCTTGGTAAATTTACTGCTATCATAACTTAATGAAAATGCAATCTGTTTAATTACAAGTGGAATTAATATCTTCAATCTCAGAATGACTAGGAGTTTGATCTAACTTATTTTATAAATGAGGAAATAGAAACATATATTATTTTAGTCATTTTTCTACATATTTTTTATTTTATTCATTTCAGATAGAAGGGGGGAGAAAAGAAGAGAGAGAAAGAAACATTGATTTGTTGTTCCACCCATGTTTGCACTCATTGATTGCCTCTTGTATGTGCCCTGACTGGAAATCAAACCCACAACCTTGGCATATGGGAACAATGCTTTAACCAACTGAGCTACCTGGCCAGGGCTCAATTTATATTTTATTTATTCAAATGTGTTTTTCAAATTTCTACTGTAGGCCAGGAACCATTATAAGCATTAAGGATGTGGTGAGGAGTAAGGTGTTACAATTACTGGGAGATGCACTTAGAAAATAAGGGTTCTCCCTATTTTCTTCATAGCACTTAATACCTAGAGTAACTTCCTCCTAACCATGAAGTTTATTGAGGAGACATTTTAGTAATTATTTGTGATTTATATTTAGTACTAAGAGGCCTAGTGCAAAAAATTTGTACTTGGGGGGGGCGGGGGTGGAGGAGGGAGGAGTGTCCCTCAGCCCAGCCTACACCTTCTCCAATCTGGGACCTCTCGAAGGGTGTCCGAATGCCCATTTAGACCAATTCTGATCGGGCCTAAATGGGTAGTTGGACATCCCTCTCATAATCCAGGACTGCTGTCTCCCAACTGATCATCTGCCTGCCTTCCTGATAGTCTTTAACCACTTCTGCCTGCCAGCCTGATCACCCCATAACTACTCCCTTGCCAGACTGATTGATGTCTAACTGTTTGCCCCCAACTTCCCTCCTCTGCCGGCCTTGTCACACCTAACTGCCCTCCCCTGCAGGCTTGATCGCCCCCAACTGCCATCCCTTGCAGGCCTGGTCCCTCCCAACTGCCCTCCACTGCTGGCCATCTTGTGACCATCTTGTGTCCACATGGCGGCAGGATCTTTGACCACATGGGGCAGCCATTTGTGTGTTGGAGTGATAGTCAATCTGCATATCACTCTTTTAAAAGATAGGATAGATACCTGGTACATGGGTGGGGACCAGCTGGTTTGCCCTGAAGGGTGTCCCAGATCAGGGTGGGGTTTTCTTAGGGAATGGGGCAGCCTGAGTGAGGGGCCTGTGGTGGTTTTCAGGCCAGCCATGCCCCCAGTGACCCAAGCAGAGGCCTTGGTATCTGGGATTTCTTTATCTTCTACAATTGAAACTTTGTAGCCTGGAATAGGGCCAAGCCTTCTGCTTGCTCTGTGGTGGCAGCCATTTCTGTTTGGATTTATTTATCTTCTATAATTGAAACTTTGTAGCCTTAAGCAGAGGGCAAAACAGTCCAGGGCTGCAGAAGCTTGGCTTCCTTCATCACCAGAGGCAACCCTAGCCTCTTGCTCTCTCCAGCTCTGTGGCTGCTGCCATTTTTGTTGGGATTTATTTATCTTCTATAATTAAAACTTTGTAGCCTTAAGCAGAGGCATGGGCCAGCCAGGGTATGCAGAAAGCTTGGTTTCCTCCATCACCAGGGAAAACCAAGCCTTCCTCCTGCTCTCACCATGGCCACAGCCATCTTGGTTGGGTTAATTTGCATACTTACTCCTGGTTGGCTGATGGGCATGGCTTATGGATGTATCAGAGTGATGGTTAATTTGCATGTTACTCTTTTATTAGATAGATAGGATACCTTAGGGATGGTATTCCAAATATGTAGCAGCTAGTATGTTATTGGTCCTAACCAGTCAAGACAGACTCTGCTTATAAAAATGGATAGATTTCTATTAATGCAAGCCAGCATACTGTGCCTGTAGCACATTTCAATGACAGACATACCAGGTCCTGGTTCTTTTCAGTGGTGGTACACATGGGTGCTGGCCTTTATTCACTATTTTAATCACATGCAGTGTTTCCAGAATTTGGATGGAGGTGGTCAGCTGAGTGCACTTTTTATTTTCCTTCTCATTCCAGATTTAATGAAATAATACATGTACTTTTTTAAAAGAAAAATTCATGATTAGTGAGGGAAAGTGGGAAATTCCCATAAGTCGATCAGGAAATTTGAAAGATGGAAAAGAGTCAGGACTGGATAGATGGAGAAAGCTACAGCTTGAAACTTGTTCAACTTGGGCAACCATCAATCTGTACTGTTTTCATGAGTTCACATTTTTTAGCTTCTGCATATAAATGAGAAGGCATACTGGAATTGCCTTTGTCTGACTTACTTCACTCAACAACACCCTCAAAATTCATGTATGTTGTCACAAATGGCAGTATTTCCTTCTTTTAAAAAAAATTAAAAATATTTTTATTGGTTTCAGAAAGGAAGGGAGGGAAGACAGAAACATCAATGATGAGAGAGAATCATCAACCAGCTGCATCATGCACACCCTCACTGGGGATCGAGCCCACAACCTGGGCATGTACCCTGACCTCTTGGTTCATAGGTTGACCCTGAAACACTAAACCACAGCAGGACGGGCTGTTTTTTCTTCTTTTTTATGGTTGACTAATACTCCAGTGTGTGTGTGTGTGTGTGTGTGTGTGTGTGTGTGTGTGTGGTGTGTAACTTCTTTACCCATTCATCCATCAGTGGACACTTAAGTTGTTTTCATGTCTTGGTTATTATAAGTAACTAGAGTAACACTGTTATTATAAGTAACTATAAGTAACAATGATGTGAGTCAATCTGTGGGATCTCTGTTTTGATTCATTGGTTTATTCTATCTGTTCTTGTGCCAGTATCAGGCTGTTTTGGTTATAATGGCTTTGTAGTATAATTTGACAGCTGGTATTGTGATTCCTCCAACTTTGTTCTTCTTTCTCAAGATTGCTGCAGCTATTTGGAGTCTTTTATGGTTCCAAATAAGTTTTTCGAATATTTGCTCTAGTTCTGTGAAGTATGCCATTGATATTTTAATAGTGATGCTGGATCTATCAATTTCTTTGAGTCATTTAGACATTTTAATGATGTTAATTCTTCTAATCCATAAACATGGTGTACATATCCATTTGATTGTATCTTCATCTACTTCTTTTTTCAATGTCCTATAGTTCTCTAAGTATAAGTCTTTTACCTCCTTGGTTAAGTTTACTCCTAAATACCTTAATTTTTTGTTGTTGAAGGGATAAATGGGATTTTTTTTTTTTAGTTTCTCTTTCTGAGAATTATTGGTCTATAACAATGTTATCAATTTCTGAATGTTCATTTTGTATCCTGCAACCTTGCTGAATTCATTTGTTAAGTCTAGTATTTTCCTGGTGGAGTCTTTAGGGTTTTCTATGTACAATATCATGTCACCTACTAATAATGACAGTTTTACTTCCTCCTATCCAATTTATATGTCTTTTATTTTTTTCTTCTTATCTGATCATTATGTCTAGTACTTCCAGTACTATGTTGAACAAGATTAGTGAAAGTGGACATCCCTGTCTTTTTCTTGTTCTCAGTGGAAATGGTTTTATTTTTTGCGCATTGAGTATGATGTTGCCTGTAGGTTTCTCATATATGGTCTTTAATATGATAAGGTATGATTCTTCTATTCTCACTTTACTGAGAGTTTTTTTTTTTTTATCAAA